ATTGTTTGTACTATTGCTTCAGCAATAAAAAAAAAGGATTAAAAGTGTTGGAGTTCTGTTGTATTGATTTTAACTATTGGAATGAAATGTTGCTTCATCTCCTTCCTAACTACTCGTGAAATTATGGAGTGTTTAAACCTGAAAGGCTGTTGAGAGTTTGAGCAGATATATGACTTTTTACCAGGGCAGGAATGTACCTGCAGAGTGTGTGTGTGTGTGTGTGTGTGTGTGTGTGTGTGTGTGTGTGTGCATCTGTGTTAGCATGTTTGTGTTTATTTGTGTGTCTGACACAGAGCTCTTATGTCCAGCTGTCTAACAATAAACTTACCAGCCATAGGGTGCTGCAGTCACATGAGCAAGAAGGGCTGGACTATGTATCCTTGATGCTCAACTTGTTTGTGAACTTCAAGGAGCTGAAGTCTGTCGCTCGTCTCTGAGCTCCCTCTCTCTGGGTCACAGGTAAGGGCTCTCTTATGTCAGTGCTGTTTAAGTTAAAGTCTTGGTAAGTCATAAATCTTGAAATGAATTGCTGTTGAAAATATATTTCCTGATTCCCGAGTTGGAGATAACTGATTAAAGGTCATTTTTAATTGTGTTCACTGCCTGCTTATATCTTAAAGTCACATGTTACATCTTCACATCCCTTTTTCAGCCTTTTCTCACTAGTTCTACACTGTTCTCACCAAATGTGACTAAACTGTATTTATAACTAAGTCCATTTTCTTGAACAATTTTCTAAGTAAAAGTTTGAGGTTGTACTTTACAATACATACTTTAGTATTTCCATTTTGTGCTGCTTTATTGTACTTCAGTACATCACATTTAAGGGAAAACTTTCCACACACCATAAGTGTCTGACAGCTATAGTGACAAGTTAATTAATTTTCAGACCAACCCTGAATGCATCCCACTGTGACACAAAATTGATTAAATCTTTGTAGAGTTATAACCAGTCTATGGTATTAACCTAATATGAAAGAAACTGAGTACATTTACTTGAACACTGTACTTAAGTACAAGTTTGAGCTTCTTTACTTCAGCATTTCCATTTTGTATTACTTTATACTTACTTATACTACATTTCTTAGTGATCTATTATACTTTTTGATAATTATTATACACCTTAATTACCTTAAAGCTAAAGTAATTACCAGTAACTACATTTCAGATAATGAGGAGGTTAACACTAAAGTACCTTTTACAGCTTGCAACATAATTAAGAGACCTTTCATCATGAGAACTTTTGTTTTTGATTCTTAAATCCAAAAATAAACAATAAGAGTTACTGTGAGATCTTTCAAATAATTGTTTTGAATGCTGTACTTTTACTTGTAAGAGATATTGTATTGTAAAATTGCAATTATTGCTCCAGTAAAAGATCAGAATACTTTTTCCACTGATGGCACAGTGACCACAGGTATTTGGTTCAGTGCTGACACTCATTGTAAACTGCTTGAACTATTGCCATATCACACTCTGCCACGTTGTTTAATCAGATATATTTGCCAGTCTAAAAATAGGCTAATAGGGATCCATTTTGCAGAACTCATCCATAACAAAATGTCTGACACAGAAGAAGTGGTGGAGGAGGAAGTTCAGTACGTACTCATTTTTTTTACTTTTATATTTTTCGTATTGTGGTTAAATAAAATCATTAATGTTAATGTTGTTTGGGATTTTCCAAATATTTTTACTACTTACTTACTTATTCTTTTTGTCAATACTGCTATTCTTCTGAAGGGATGAAGAAGGTAAGAAAATTGCTTTTCAAATACCTTATTTAATTTCCAAACATTTTACTAATAATGTATGTTCCTGATCATTAGCACAAGAGGATGTGACAGGTGAGAAAACTGTCCTTTAACGCTTCGCCTTTTTAAAATATGTACTTTTTACTCACTTCAGTGGATTTATTCAAAATGGCTTCTATTTTCTTTTCCTTGTCCCAGACGAGTCAAAGCCCAAGCCTAAGTAAGTGTCTCTTCTTTAGTTAAGCAGTTAAAAACACTTATGGCAGATTATTCAATTATAAACTGTTTGTCTCTACAGGTTTATGACAAATATTACCGCTCCAAAGATGCCTGATGGCGACAAAGTGGATTTTGATGTGGGTCAACCTTATTAAATGCTTCCTTTGTGACTGAAACATCCATTTGATTCAGGTTTCACTCACAACAGATACATTCAAATAATGTCTGAACCTGATTTGTTTTTCTGATGGCAGGACATCCACAGGAAACGTCAGGAGAAGGATCTGTCCGAGCTGCAATCTCTGATCGAGGCTCACTTCATCCAGAGGAAAAAAGAGGAAGAGGAGCTCATCGCCCTTGTTAACAGAATTGTGAGTGTGTCAGTAAAAGAGGAATAGTGTTTTTTTCTGGTTGGTCAAAATCACCATATCTCTTTTGTAGGAGAAACGTCGTGCTGAGAGAGCAGAGCAGCAAAGGGTCCGGGCAGAGAGAGAGAAGGAGAGGCAGGCCAGACTTGCGGTATGGTGTCAGTGTACATTAACTCATATCCTCAACACCACAGCACATCATACCAGACAACAAGTCATCAACTTCTTCTCTAAATGATTGACCTGTGCCGCATACAGGAGGAAAAAGAGCGGAAGGAGCAGGAGGAGCAGCGCAAGAAGCAAGATGAGGACTTCAAGAAGAAGAAGGCCCTCTCAAACATGACCCAGCAGTACAGTGCTGGACAAAAGGTCACTCAGCCTCTCATTGCTTACAGTATTTCAGTGAGGAACACAATGAACAGGGATGGTACACATGAGTAGATAAAAGTACTCAAAAATCCATCTCAAGTTTTAATACTGTTGCGTGACTTGACATAGTACTACAAAAATAGCACTTTTTTATTTGTTACACATGGTCATCAAACTTAGCTTATCAAGCTTAACTCTTCCATGAAGTGGAACAAAAGTGAAGAGGCAAAGGTGGGAGACCTAGAGAGGGGTCCCCTGAAAGTGAACGTAGGGGTACAGAATGATAAATCACAAACATCACGTCACACACGTCATTTATTGGCACTGGAGGTCTAACATGTCAGGTGATAACTATTTACATAAAATAGTGTGTAATTTTAATACATATTTGACTCTGTTACACTAGTTTAATGTGTTCACATGCTAACATTTGCAAATAGCACTAAACACAAAATAAAGCTGAGGCTGGTAAGGATGCTATTTGTTGTAAAGGTCATAAAGCAAAGGACACAGAAACATTGACCTGACGATGGTGCTTGATGAATGGTCAGGGGATAAATGTTTTTACAAATCATCCTCTGGGGACCGTGAATGTATGTACCCAATTTCGTGGTAATCCAATCTGATAATTATATAATATATATTTCAGTATAAACCAAAAATGTCTACCTCATGGTGGCTTTAGAGGAAACATAAAGGGAAAGTTATTACATTGCTAGGAAACCAATATCTGTACAACATTTGGTGCCAATCTAAGAAAAAAAGTTATGGGATCACCCAAGTCCTTATAATTTATCAAGTTTATTCCATGGCAATTTATGTCAACATTGTCAGGATACTTCAATCCTACTGAGATACTACTCCATAGGAGTCATCCTTCCATCCAGTAGTTCTCTAGATATTTCAGTATGGACCAAAGTGGTGCTTCTAGCTTGACATAAAAAAGGCTTAATGTGTAAGCAAAAGTTACTCTATTGTACTAACTATAGTAATCATACTATTTTCCATTTCTTTTATTCAGTTTATCAATCAGTTGTACAAGAGGATGAATTCAAAGAGCATTAAGTATCTGATTGTTGCAGTCACACTGACATACAGTATGTATCTTCTCTATTTGACCTACACAGGGTGAGAGCAGAAGAGGAGGCAAGAAACAAACTGAGAGGGAGAAGAAGAAGAAGATCCTAGCTGAACGCAGGAAGGCTCTCAATGTTGATCATCTCAATGAGGATAAACTTAAGTATGAGAAAGCTGTGCAGGGTTTTATGTCTATTTCAACATTATCTCAAAGAGTGCATTGCAGTCGGTGTACATACCTTTGCTTTTGGTACTGGTGAACATGCTCTCATCATGACCTGTGATTGTTTGTGTTTAGGGAGAAGGCCAACGAGCTGTGGCAGTGGCTGATGGGGCTGGAGGCTGAGAAGTTTGATCTCAGTGAGAAACTCAAAAGACAGAAGTATGATGTAAGTCATCCAACACACAGCTGGGGGTTATACAATGTTCCTAATAGCAAAACAAGTGGAAGATATCCCTTAATCAAGATAGAAATCAGACATACACAGCACCTGAAAGACACAAATGATTTTTCATGCATTGCCCCTTTTAGTGTTCATCTTTGCTGTAAGTACTTAGGTAGCCTACTACACTGTCATGTAGTTTGTTTCAAGTAGAATCTTGAGATAAAGAATATAAAGGTCAAAATATAAATTTGTAGGGTCCTGAGAGCATCCTTTGCTGGACATGTCAGGTATCCTATCTGTGGTCTTTCAAATGCTTAGCAAGGTTTATGTGTCCTTGCAGATTAACCAGCTTCTTGCCCGAGTCCAGGACCACCAGAAGTAAGTACACAAACCTCCTTGTTGGATTTTCTCTTAGGATTAAGGCTACCTGCTATGCTTGTATGTATTTTGATTTCCTTCTTACATTGTTCACTATCTTGTCTAAATCTTTTCTGAACTAAACAGATATCCTTTTCACGACACCAATTTATACTAAATACATTTAAAACTTTTCCACCATTATAGACATGATGGATCAGAGATCACAGAGTGCGATCACTTGAGTACATTCTCTGAATGTTAAAACACAGATACTCAATCATTATAAATGTCCTCGGTCATTGCACAAAGGTCCTTAGATGTTTTCTGCTTATTTGAAGAGTGCTCTGTAACATAACTGCTGCACAAACTGTGAAACAGCGTGTGCATTAAACTGTCACACAGAAGTTGCATAATTATTGATGATTGATACTTTAATAAATATCTGAACATGAACAGACCTCTTGCAAAACTTTAAAGGAAATAAACTGTCCTTTTATTTGCAATGCCATTAGGGACACAAACACCTGTACTGTATTCTTACAATTTTGTTGAAAGAAAAACCTATTTTAGGTCAGACAAGTGGCTGCAAATCTGAGAGAGAGAATACTGGATTCTCAAGAACATTATGTTTTGTACCATCGTAATGCCAAAAGAAGATTCCCATGTTTGCAGTAAAGATCTTCACATGTGGGAACATTCCAGATTTTATTATTTAGCAGTGTGATATTGTCTTGAGAGTTTGAAACCTGTCCTGTGATTTGGGATGTGGTTTCTGTTCTCACCATCAATTCTGCGCAAACTCAAATTGTTGACTGATTTGCTGAGTGCTGCAATCGAATAACCTCCACTTGTGCTGAACTCACTGTCTGCTGTTCTTCTCCTACACCCATTCAGTGCCAAGGGGCGCGGCAAGGGCAAGATGGGTGGCCGGCTGAGGTAAAGGAGCAGCCAGACAGGGAAGAGTCAGACCGTGACACCAGTGATTGGCCCACGTGTCTTTTATGTGTGTATTCATTGTTCTGTTGTGTTGGTAGTGTCAATTATCATGATGTCAAATCAATAAATAACTCATTACATCCACCCTGCTGCCTCTCTGCAAACCATGCAGATTGTCTCTGTTTCTGTGTAATTAAGTCCAACATTTATACAAAACCTCAAGTAGGAGGAATCAGTCAGTAGAATCTGTAACGGATCTTTTGAATAACAACATGTAAACAACAAAGACAAATACGGGTCTGATGTTCCATATCTATGTAAAAATATGTATAGAGTGAACAAATGGTGGATATTTTCTTATTAAAAATATCTAAATTAAGTGCATTTCTTTGGAACAAATAGCAGTAGACACGTTATATTGTCAGCATCTAATAAAATAATTGACATGATAAAGAGAGCATCTACATGTCGTAGCATGGGTTTGTTGTTTCTAGCTTTAATTCAAATCTACATTAAGAGCAGACATTCCTCAGCAAGGCTCCACATAGTGGTGGTGTATAACATTATCTATATATTGTTTTAATTACATAAGAACAATATAATCTAGGTACAGGAGAATGTGTGCTGCTCTTAAATCAAAGTCTGTACTGTACATTAATACTATGTTTCGATATACACATATCCACACCAGTGCAAGTTGTTTGTTTCTGCAGTCTTAGGTGCTGGGTGCTGGGAGACTCAGCAGTGGTTTGATGGTCTATGATGAATGAGGACTCATGGGATGACGAGAGCCCGCTGAAGAGAGGGCGCCTCACCACAGGTGGGTTTCCCTGATCTCTGCAATCACCTGGCTGGCCTTCTGCAAAGCCTGGACACCGAAATGCAAAATGGAGGAATTCTGTTAAAACACTGTTATGTTTATACCCTAGGCGCACTCTTTTTAAGTACATATTGGTGCATAGTTTCTATGTCAACTAGTACAGTGAATGTACAATATTTGACTTGCAGCTCCTCTAAATTGTCTTAAATGTTTCTATGTCTCAACTTCATGTAACTTTAATATGAGAAATCAATAAGGGAAGACGGCTCTTCTGGCCCCCGCGACCCTGTACGCAGGATAAGCGGTTGACAATGGATGAATGGATGGCTCTTCTGGATCAGGATCAGGATTAAAAAAAGTAAATGTTGGTCTTAAAATGCCTGATGAAGGTCCATGACCAAATGTTGCGTCTCTAATAAAGCAAGTAAAGTAAATGTGTGTATGATTGGCACTGGATCTTGTTTTTACAATCCATAGCGACGCTTGATGAATCTGTTACCGTGAGCATGTCAGCAGCCTCGTTGCGTCTCTGAGCCATGTCCTCGGACTCTGTCAGCAGGTCATTCAGCAGGGCCGTCTTGTATAACTGACCCACTAGCTCACTCTGCAGACAGTCCTTCACATGGTTCACCAGGAAGTGCATAACTGCCTTCGGTACACTGAGACCAAACAACAACACAGGGGGAAGACGTAAGAAAGAAGGAAGTAGAGGACAGTATAGCAAAGAAGAAGCGACCATTCATGTCAAAACCTCAAACATTACACAATGATAATTGAAGAAATTGTGTAGAGTATGTGTACCTGTCCTGGATGTTTTTCCGAACGATAAGAAAGTATGACTTGATGAGTCTCTCGATGACCTCACAGTCCCTCTGCTCCCGAGCAGACAACTTCCTGGATACTGGAACAGGCTGGCAATTAAAAAACATCAAACGTGCTTGTTAATGAGCATCTTAATGATCTAAGGTGCGAGCTGTAAAATCCAAACAAAAACAGCTAGCAAGCTGTTTACAATGTAAGTGACAAGGCTGTTTTTACACTTAGGGGTGTTACTGCCTACTTGAAGATGTAAGAGATACCCTGGCAACTTTCCCTAAATACTTTCTCATATGTTCTCCATATGATCTCGGCTAATATTGCTGTAATGAAATAATAAAAAAACAATACTGAACAAACCAAACGAGACTATTTTGCAACATGCTATGTTTTGTAGCTGTTCCAATCACCTGAATAACATAATGGGCCCGGGACAGTCTCCTAAACCAATTCATTGTGTCCATAAATGCAGAGCACCCACCACATCGAGTAGGTTGACAGCGTGGCCCTTGTGTGGGCTTGAATAGTGTTGGGGTTGGGGCACGGCCCTGTCTCCAACTGTACTGTCCTCTCCCCTCTTCAACATGCCCCTCCAGTTCCCTGTCCCGCTGTCTGTCTGGTCGCTGACAGAGCCGCTCTGAGCAACGCCAGCTGCTGCCTACAGGCAGTACAGAGACATGGAGTGAGGATCTGTCTGGTATCCTGCTCAAAGATAAAGGCTCAGACAGGAAACGTTCAGAAGTCATAAAAAGAGGTTAAATTAACAAGGTTAATAAAACTTCACAAAAAAAAAAAAAAAAACATTCCACAGAGATGAAAAATATATATATACATTTTCTAAATGCATTCAAATAGCATGCCACAGGTCTTCTTTGACTTCACTCCAAAGAAGTTCATCCAGAACATGCAAGAAGTCTGGTGGAAAATACAGACAAGCAGTTTACACAAGTTATACCACCAGGGTGTAGGGTTTAGGGAAAAATAGAGAAAGAGATTTCTAAACTTGCAGAGATACAGTTTTAACAAAGGCGGCCACTCTTAATATTCCCAGTTGTTGTAGGCCACTGTGGGCAATGTACAAAATAAAATTGCTGAGCACCATTTTATTATTATTTTGGACTAGATCTCTCTCTCTCTCTCTGTGTGTACACACACACACACACGGCTTCTCATCACCATCTAATGGTTATATCGCTCACCCCTACAAAAGCAAGTAAAACTTTTCTTCATTTTTAAATAAAGAGCTACATGCCATTTGAGTCTGGAGTTGTTGTGTTACTTCAGTCGGAGCAACAACATGCAAAACAAAGGTTAGATGTACAATGCTGAGTGCAAGTCAAAGATCAGATCAGTTAGGTTACAAGGGGTAAAGACTATGCCTTCAACCCACTGCATCTGCATCACACTGAAGGCAAACCACTTGCTGAAACAGGGGTTTTAGAGTACTATATTAAGGGCTTGGGGGTGAGCAGAGGTCAGATTTGTGGGGGGTGACTTAACGAGACACACCTTGGTGACCTCGCCCTCGGGGGCAGGAGGCTCAGTGGGGGAGAGAGACTGCCCACCTGGGCCTTTAAGGGACTAAAGAAAGACAATATCAGGAAGAAAAGAGTGGATAGAAAACCGACACGACATACAGGCAGAAGTGTGCATGAGCTTTACATGATGTGGACACTAACTGTGAAACTCTGAATTCTTCAATGAACCTGGGTCAACGTCATATGTGCAAAAGTGGCAGATAATCTGTTAAACCCTGTTTCAAGAAAAGAGAGGACTTGTGAATCTAATTGATACTGACATACCTTGTCTCTGGGGACAGCAGAGGGGAGGTCTCTCATTCTGTTGCGTCTCTGCTCCTATAAAATGAAAGGTTTGACAAATGCAACTCAGTCAAATTGAGGAAGAGGAAATGAACAAACTGTTTATCAATGTTTCAAATAATACTGTCTCATTAGTTGTTTTGTTTCTAAATCTTTTGACTCTTTTGTGCTTTGCTAGTGCTGAATCGTACACATTCGCACAGTTCACACTATCAGCCTGGTATTCTGGTTAAGGATCACAAAACGCATGCGTTATAAACAGTCAACTTTTATTCAAAGATGCTCATCTCTCACCTCTATGTTATTGTTCATGAGCCCGCAGGCATCAGCAAAGTCAGGGTGTTTGGTGTTGATATATGCCAGCTCAATGGCAACCAGGTTGTGGACCTGAAACAAATCAGGAAGTTGATAAATCAGACTAGGGGTGAATAATCTTCTTATAAAAATGCTCCGTGGTATTTAGCGTTAGCAGGTCCTGACCATTTCATTTGTGACAGGGAGTCTTTTTCGGAGTAATGAGGTGACCACTTCTACTATGGCATCATGAAGCTTTGGAAACCTAAGCAACTCCTGCAGAGGTAAACAATAATACCTATTAGTATTAGACACTGTACTTTAGTGTATTTACTGCATACTGTACCTCTGTGTAGGTTTTTAAGGTATATGTGCGAGTCTGCTTCTCACCTGTGTGCTGTAGTTGCTGCAGTGCTGGATAATCCTCTGCATCTCCTCATGAACCAGCTCCACGCAGCGCAGACTGGGCTCCTCCAGGCGCTTGACCTGCCGCTTCACCAGCAACTCAAACGAAATCTCAGGCACAAATAATGCAGGCCTCGGGCCCTGTCAAATACAATTAAACTGTAAGTCTTCAAAAAGGGGTAATTACAACTACAAGAGGTAGCAGAAACCCACCGTTGCATTTCTGATTGCTGTGAGCACATCGATGGTTGTTAGACCTCCCAGAGGATCAACTGACTCCAATGTGCGACCAAACGTCTCATGAAATATATAACAGATTCTTGCTCCACCACATCTAAAAAAAAAAAGAGGAGAGCAAACTACCTTAAACATACAGGAAGAATTTGCTTTAAACTGAGCACAAGTTGATGCTAGCACATCTTAGTGGTGTATGAAGGTACATGCATTTCAGAGAGTTGTGCAACTCACAGTTCAGCTGTCTCAATGTACTTGGCCGTGCCCTCTATGGTGTGGCAATACTCTGCAGCAAACTTGGTGATGAGCTGCAGTAATGTGGAGCTCTTGTCTTCAACAGGTTCACCATAACTGTTGAGTAAAGACTGGTACTGCGATGCCAGCACGTTGATCCTAGTCTTCAGCTCAGGAAGACAGTCTCTGATGTGGTGCATGAGTAACCTGTAATAAAAATTAAAGAAAACAGTTTACCCTATGATTGCAAACCAAAGTGGGCTACTTGTTGTAGACTACTAAACAGTATGTTTAGACGGAAGATTTAGAGGTCATGGTCATTTGTTCCTCTTTGTCAGAAATGGAGTAAACCTGAAATGTACATGGTTAATTAGCAACTCAAATATTTCATTTGTTAATTTAAAAAACAGTAACTACATAAATATTTACAAAATCAAAGTAATACATAAATTCTGACTTCATACCTGTTCAATGTTCTGGCCAGATATTTGGTTCCATTTCTATTTGCAAGGGACGGGTACTTCTTTTGTAGGAAAGCGTATTCATCACGGATGGCATCTGCTACTAACTTCTTTTGATTGATATCCAACTGACTCCTAAGAAAATGAACAAACAAATACTGATTGTTAGTCTTAGACATGGCTTTTAGTCCCTTCTTAAAACATACTTTTATAGGAGAGCTTTTCCCGATCTTATTTGACTTTATTTTATCCCTTTTATTTTATTGTATTTTACTAATTTTATATTAAATTTTCATGCTCTTATCTTTTTTGTATTATTCTTTACATGTGTTAAAGCACTTTGTAACTTGTTTTTGAAAAGTGCTCTACAAATAAGGATTATTATATATTATTTTAGGGTGCCTAGTGTGACCACCAATCAATAATTATTATTGACACAAAAACAAGGAAATATTAGAGGAAATGGTGTGTAAGAGTCTGGTCAAAGTAATACAATTTCAACATGGGCATGTGTTGTAGAAATCTGAACGTTAGGAATAAAATGAAATTGCAGAGGACAACAAATATAGCAAGTCAAATAGCCCAAGAGTCAGCCAAGTGATAAATATGAATTAAATATAAAGAGGGAAGCTTTCAAGATTATTTGCAATTCTTCCCACCCTCTGCACTCGCACTTTGAGCTTTTACCTTCAGGGAGGCGCAACAGACAAGTAAGAGCCACCAAATATGTGTACAGTGATTCTTTCTTGCGAAATTCAGTTAGCATAGTGAATGCTTAGTCTACTTTCATCTTTTTTATTTCATCTGTCTTTACTTTTTCCCTTGTATGTTTATTTATTTATTTCTGTATTTCAAATCATGTTTTTTGTTGACACCGTGTACCTGCCATCTGTCCTCAGCTTAACTAACAAACTAATGTGGAACAAAAGTGCAGTGTTACCTGTTAACTACTCCAATAATGCCCAGTTTGACAGGAATGACCCTGCCCATCAACACATCCATTGCATCTGTACCAGCATCCATCAGATCCAGCTTGGTCACCACTGCTAATGTCCTCCTGCCTGAAGACAAAGAGATACACACCTGGCTACAAAAAATAACCACTAATGCAGGAAATCAAAAGAGTGTATGAGCTAAGGAAATAAAAAGATGGCAAGTGAATAACATGTAAAAACAGAATTGAAGAAAGAACAAGAAGAACATCTACCATCAGGGTCAACCTCACGGGCCACTTTAAGGGCCTCTGAGGTTGCCATGTCTGTATTGGCAGCAGTCACAGCCAGGATGATGGAGTTGGGGTTGGAGATGTACTTAAAGATCAGTTCTCTGATCTGGATCTCTATGTCTTTGGGCTGATCTCCCACTGGTACCTGTTTGAACAAATACACACACTGACTTTAAACCCTGAATTCATCACACAGGTTCGGACACGGGGAAGCAAATAGGAAAGCTATCTCACCTTGGTAATGCCGGGAAGGTCCACCAATGTGAGGTTCACAACATGTGGTGAGAAGATTTTCAGGTGAATGGGTTCATCACTAATACCCTAGGGGGGGGGGGGAGATCTTCGATTAGTCTTACAGGCTGTTGCTTCTGAGGTTGACTCAAAATCCCAGGTTGATGCTGTCAATTAAAGATCATCCATTTTCTCCATGGATTTCATTCATTTCTTGTTTGTCAAATTTTGTTGCTTCCTCTTAATGGCCGTAATTGGCATACCTTGTTAATGCCGGAAATTCTTTCAGTTTCTGCTTCAATTTCTTGCCTGATCTCCTCAAAGTCTGTGTAGATCTGAAAGAACAATTTAACCATGAAAGGTAAAGTCTCCAGTAACATCAAAATCAATGTAATTTCTACAGTACAGTTTTAGTTACAGTGCAGGGCTCCAGACTAACTTTTTTCACCTCCATCCTGGAACCGTCCCAAAATCAAAATGTTGTTTCTTTACTTTATTATCCTCTATAGTTGTTAGTGACACAATAATTGATTATACATTGATAAAATAAAGAATATTTATTTTGCTTGATTCAAATAAAAAGATTTATAAACAAAACTGAAAAGTAATCTGTTGGAGCACCTTTTTTCTTGATGATAGGATGATTTAATTTCACTTCAGTTATAAACTCCTGGACTTTGTTACAGCAGATTTTCTGCTCATGTTCAAAACTTTCTGCACATTCAGAATCTCACATATCTTTGTTCTCTGACATGTCCAGAAGAAAATCGTAATATTGAGACTAACATCATTATTTAATGAGAATTCATAATATTTTTTAAAAGTCTACCTGACCTATACTCTGCTGTGCTCCCCTTCAGACTGTACCGAATGAAACAAGTGCACTGCACTTCGTCGGAGGTAGAAACTGAAACCAACACTTGTGATCAGGCAGACGTCTCAGCACAAATCCTTGTGTTAACTTATGTTGCTCCGATAAAGTGCAGCTCACAGTCCCAAACAGAGCCAGACTGTGCTTCAGGTTTTAGATGTTTATAATGCAAAACTCTACCAGCGAGTCTGCTGGTACAGCCTCAGTGCGCGCTGGTTTCTTCACGATCACGCCGTATGCAGAGTTGCACCAGCTGGGTGGACGTGATTCTCGCCCGCTAGTAGACGTTATCACAATATAGATTTGTCTTTCACTGCGTGAGAAGATTGATGTGTGGCGCTTAATGTTAGCCTACACAGCGCGATTGAGAGGTCAGCAAGTTGTTTGTGACTGAGAGAATCAATGGACCTGTACCGCAGGAACAGGTGAGCAGCCAGCCTCCTGTGTGAGTCCGGCGGGACTGTAGTAACAGCGTGAGAAGACAGCCTCCGTTGCAGTCAGCGCTTGGTCGGTTCAGTTTGTCATTTGCTAAGTGATCGTAATAAATAAACACATAGGCTTACACAATCCCTTTTGTCGTAGAAGCGTCCAACTGAATATTTCTCTTCGTCCCAAACACATTTTCTAATCGTCCCCAGGACAACAGGACACCGTTAGTCTCGAGCCCTACAATACAGGATCCAAAACTGGGCTATTTCATGATCAGACCAAGTTTATCAAATATTCTGATATTTCTATATACAGTACAGTAGTGTTGGGAGAGTCTTGATTTCTGGCAAATAAGACTGACTCTACCTTATTTTTGGTGTGTAGGAATTTGCCCCATTCCTCCCCGTCGATGCCTACAGAAATACAAAGTTGAGGAAAGATGTTTCAGTTACTGACATGACAGATGTGGTCTTAACATCAGTGTTACTATTATTACTATCGCTATGTTGAATGTCTCATGGGAGGATTTCTGTGCCGGCAAAGATGGGATGGAAAAAAACTTCTCAGAGCAAAGACCCATAGCTGGAGAGTAAAAAAAAACAAAAACAACAAGTAATACAGTGGAACAACTGTTGTTTTCACACACAACAGTCGTGGAATCAATTAAAAGCCTAAAGCAAAAAAAAAAGCATGTGCATTTTGGGAAGCAGAGACTTCTTTAAAAAGCAAAGCAATCATTTCAGCTGCAAATCAACACAAAAACAAAAAAACAACATTACAAAAGGTGGAGTCTGTAAGTCATCTTAGAGTAAGCTGGTATTTGAGAACATCTTACTATTGAGGTCCTTTGATGAAGTTGGAATCAATGAACTAACTTTTAAAATGTAAAATGAATCACACAATTATTATTTTCAACAGGAATCTGTTAATTTTCTTTTGTCAAATTTCAACTGACAGAGACCAGCCTAAATAGGGGGGAAGGCTTGACTTGAATAAAGTGATGCTACACAAATACAAGGCAGGATGTGAAAAAATGGGCAAAGGGGTCGGGGGAGGTCATGTAATGTACAAATACAATTAGGCAAAGAACAAGGAAAAGGAGACCTCTGTAAAGGCGACCATTTTTCTTGGATTCTGTGGTTAAGGAGAGATGACAGGAGACAAATGGGTTAGCCTGGCTATCCGCAGCTCCTGCACAACACTCTACAGACTACTGCAATGCAGCGTCACTCTGAGGCCATTGCCAGGAGACAGCATTGATTCACGTGGGATCTTGACACTTAGTCACCTGTTATTTTCACTGAGACGTGGATGGTATTGAGTGCTGATTCTGAGTTAAACTGCTTCTCCTTTCACAATATAAAAATGTTACATAGTTGAATAAAGAATTATTACGGCACTGTAGAAGAGACGCCTCATGAACACAGAAAGTGTGTGTTAAAGATCAACATTAGATTTAAATCTTATAAACTGTTACACTCTTGGCCAGTGAAGGTGAAGCATATTGAAGTCAGATTGCTGAATTTAAATGACTCTTTCCAGCTGCCTGTCTGAATCATGATCTAACTGTACATTCACTAGACAAAATGTATTGCTGACATGTACCAACTAGTCTGCTTAATGCTTCATTTTCTGATATGGTTTCACAAAAAACACCATAATGCAATAATAATATAACGCAAAAATACATATTAGAGCTAGAGTAATACATTTTCACTGTAAAATGTCTCCCTCAGTATGTATCCATCAAATAAAGATAAAATATCAAGTTCATTTGTTTATGTACGCTGAAATCAATATCTGCCTCAAAAATCCAATACTTGCCTGACTATAACACATATACAGTATATTGTGTATGTAAAACACTGAATAACACTGAATACCAAATAATTTCATTGTGGGAGAAGAATAAAATGTAACAGTTCCACAAATACATAAGTAACAGAGGCGAAAGTGACGTTACCATTCTCTTCACTGGTTTTCCTGCGGTCCTCTGTGTCAATGTGCACTAGCTGTAGGATAAGGGGTCGGCGTGTGACGATGCCAGTGCCACGTGGCAGGATGTCCTTGCCAACCAGGCTCTCTAAAACAGAACTCTTCCCACTGCTCTGTACACAACAAAACATCGTAAACAAAACCATGAGTGTTAAGACTTAAGTATGAATGACACACTGACCAGAGGAATCCTTCCTCGCGTCGTCCAGATACAGACAAAACACGAGGCACTGAGGTTGGTTGTATTTGACACTATTTCTATGTGTGTTGTTAAAGTTATTAGCCCGTTACCACTGCAGGACCTTTTCCAGGGTTCCAGGAACTCAAGAACCTTAACTGCATATCCACCAGAGGAGCCAGGCTCTAATTTAATTCTGGGCCCCCAAAATGGGATAGCACTTTCTGATGACCCAAAAACTATTAAGTTGGCAGTGTTAAACATCATCCACTGGTCGAACACAGACATTGTGGCTGGTTGAATTGAAATGTGTGGCAGAGTAACTCCTAATGAGATCTGGTGAACTGCAAATACCTCATTTAGCTCACTTGGCTAGCTGTTTCCTTCTTAATGGACTAGCACCGATTTCCTCAGTAGGATATGATGGCTAAAATATAATCAGTTAAGTTTCTCTGTAGCGTCATTTAACTTAATGTTGTTTTGGCTGATACAGGTAGGCCTATTTATAGACCTGCCAGGTATAGCCAGTTATTAATACTTGGCATCAGAACTCAGTTACATCTGTCCTTATCTGAAGGTCTTTGCAGATCTGGGCCTATGTGGAGCCCTGGCAAACATAACAAAGCAGGCATTTAAAAAATCCTCTGGCTTGCCTTGTCTCACTATAACACCCTCAGTTGCCTGCCAAAAGGTCTGAGACAGTCACATCCTATTAGCTGACTAGTGAAAGTAAATGTGTTAAACCAAATCTGCCACTTTAAACCAATTAGGCGCTAGGTGGAAAGGGTGAAACCGAATTAGACAAGAAAGGTGTTGATTCCCCTTTATGATCATGTTGTTGTTCACCCCATTTATTTTAACGAGAATCCACTACATATTACTAATACTATAATAAAACATTTGCAACAAAAAGTGTTCCCTTTAAGTAATCTGGCAAACGAGTGTAAGTTCCACTCTTATACAATCTATGGTTCTACTGTCTTTGTGTGAATGGAGACTTTTTTTTTAACAACCTAGCAAATCACATTTTTCATAAACACAGATGTTTGGCAGTGTAAATTGTATGAGGACATGAGTGTGTTTATGTTCAGCAATCTAAATCTAATCACGTTAAAAAAAATCAGAATGTATTTATCTATTATTTTTAGGATTTGAAGGCTATGTATATAATTGTTTGTTCCTGAACTGTCAGCCAAAACATTGAGTCCAAGTGAGCTGACATGTAAATTAGCTAATGCTAACTTACTTGCTAAATTAGTTAGCTTAGATTTTTCGTAAAAAGGAAAAGCTTACGTAAATTCAGTCTACACAGCTTTGTCTATTATTGACATCTACATGAAAACGAAAGCAAATCTAAGGTTCAGATATCAGAAGTTAGCCAAAACAATAAGTTGGCGCAGGCTAACTAACTTGCTAGCCTTTAAGCAAAGTGACGTTTCTCACCTGAGTTCCCACAACAACTATCTGCGGCAGCTGAATTATGTCTGCGCCGACCGTGTTAAATGCATCCTGCAATTTGTTTATGACAGGTATAAGGGCCTCCATGAGCTCCGATACTAGTGTCAACCTGTCAAATAGGTAACTTTCTTTACCCTACCGCACAGGGCTACAAAGTCATTCAATGTCCCTAAGCTAAGGCTACTGGCGTCTCTTTGGCTCTGCCAACAACTGCGCACACAATTGAACAGAGTTGAATCATGGGAGTTTGAGTTAAATAGACTCCCGCTCAGCATCTCTTTGTTCAGGGTTAGACATTTGCTGAACTACATGTCCTACAGTTGACATAGCACTTGTGTTGTACCAATGAAAAGAAAGGTAATTATTTTTCCTCTACGCAACAGTAACTAAGGGGAGAACCAAAACAAGGTAGCTGTGTGAAAGCCATGAATACATTCATAATTAAACCCATTAAACGACCAATATGATTTGTTTTTTTATAGGCAGGCAGGGGCGTAGCTTCTGGAAAGTTAGCTAGCTAACTGAATAATTTCCAGCAGACAAATGTTTGTTTCAATAAATTTATTGGAACTTATAGTATACTAACAGTACAGTACAGTTTGTCATCAGTTTAACAAAGAAATCTTCGGGAAGCCTCAAGCAATACTGTGGTCTGTCTATAATTGTCACTCATAAGTTACTTTCGCATGACCACACAGTTGTGTTAGAAGCATAACAATATATCACAATGCAACAAAATGTTCATTAAAGATGGAATATGCCCTATTTTGCTTCTCTTATTCAAAATGTGAATGAACACACCATTCTCACCCTTACAGCCCTAAAGTAAACAGAAGGAAGCTCAGTTTGGTCTCCCTTTTATTTCTGAAAACACATTTTCCAATTATACAAAATTGAAAGTGCCATTGAATATTTACAACAATATCAATACAGGAGATAAATATTGCACGCTACAGTGTAAAAGGAGCATGTCACTGTGACCAGTTTAAACGTAAGGTAACAATATGTTAGGCTGTACTAGGGGTTTTATCAACTAGTCAACACTGTGGGCAGAAGCCATCACCAGATTCAGATAATGTGCTGAACAGTGATACCTGTATGTACTAAGCATTATAACTCTACTATAGCATTATAGTACTGCAGTATTCTTACACTACACATTCATTTTAAAAATATGCATGCAGTAAAAATACAAACCCTTGTGACTAGTAAAATTAGTAATCATAAAACCTCTAGTACATACTGTACTCAGTTCAATTCCTCTGCAAGTTATTTTACACATATAACTTTTTTTGTAGTTTGTCTGAAATGCCAGTCAAATTTTTAAATACCTATATTTGAGGATTTTTGGTTAAATTTCAAACATTATAATTGTCAATTTCCGATTCAGTACTCTACACCTAGAAAATATTCGTAAATGTGGGATTCAGAAATCAGAAATTGTTATGACTTTTTTGTACTAAAGATGGTCTCAATCTAGCTATTTAAATACCAAAACACAGTTAAAAAAAATACTCTTAATTGTATTAATTGAAAAGCTATGGCATCTGTGTTCAGCCCACCCCTGTAAATCTAGGCTACCTCCACTAAAATCTGAGTAACAAGCATTTCTTACTTATAGCTCTTTCCTACTTGGATTTTCTCCTTTACATGTATTTACAATTACTTTACAATTGCATGGATGGAGATTTAACCACAAATTTTAAAATATATGACATTCAAAAAATGTGACTGACAGCGTAGAGTACATATTTCAACAAGTAGTGTAGTTCACCAACACCAGTTAAACAAGCCAACAAGTGGAGGGTCTCAGAATTTTGTTGACATTGCCTCTCATTTGACAACCATAAGCAAAACTCCACTGGCTGCTATTGTTTCTACCTTCAGTTGTGTTTTGAGACCCACAATGGCAAAACCTATACAAAAGAAACTAAAAACTGTACAAAAGAACAAGGTGGACATAGTGAACTAGTGATGAACTAACACATAGATATTCCTGTGTCAAATTCTGTATGATTGTTTTATTTTTCCAAACAGTACACTTAAGAAATTACATTATCAAAGAAGGTGCTTAAAAATACTGACAAAATACTCCCTCTCAGCTTACTAACAATAAGTGAAAAACTACTACAATCATATACAAGTCCATGTGCACACACAGGGAATAGCTTGAATAGAACATAGCTTATTTGAATTTAGACCTAAGTAGCTAAGTAAACTGAGTCTTTACTGTGTCATTCTGTGCCTGAATGTCAGATCTCAATGTCACGGTTCAAATTTCACAGCACTTGAACCGAGTGGCTTAAAATTACCTAATCAATACAATAGTATTGTATCCCCTTAAGGCAGTTTTGAGGCAGAGGTCATTTTATATTGCATCTTAAGATGCAGTGCAGTCTGTGTATGTGGTTACCATGTTTCCTCTGCGCTGTGTCACTGTTCTACAGTGTTGTTTTGACCCACCATGAAACCTGTTTTCAGCCTGTTTGGTGTGTCTGTCAAAAGTAAACATCCTTTCTATGTCATCATACATGTCATCAAAGATACCTGCTCCAAAACCTCCTTGAAAGTGTCTCTTATGTCTGCTGTGGGACTCCTTGTGGGACCTGGAGTGTTCATCAAAGTGTCTTCGGTGACGGGCATGCCTGTTCTGGCTGTAGATGTCAAAATCCTTGAATAGGTCATCAAAGTTGAAGCTGAAAGGTTGGTGGGCACCCTGTCTATGTTTTCCTTGCATCCCCCCAGTGAAGTATGCAGAGGTGTCAGCAAACTGGTCGTATTCTCTTCTTCTAGTTTCATCTGATAAAGTTTCATAAGCTGTACAAAGAAAGACAAGATTTAGTCAAGGCTGAGGAAGATGAGTACTTTATCTCATCAACATTTTTAAAAAGGTATAGCTATGGTGACAAAGACCTAACTAAGGTCAGGAAATGCATTATATATGGTAAAGTGCAAGCTTAAACATGTACACTGAACTTTGGCCATATCCTCCAGAGCTTTAATCTCCATGCCGTATAAAATGCTACATTAGAAACAAGAATAACATTACAGTATATCAGTAAACAATGGATTTTTAGACACAAAAAAAACCCCTGACAAAACAAACTGTACCTTCAGCAATTTCCCTGAATCTCACTTCAGAGTCCGGGCTCTTGTTCTTATCTGGGTGATATTTCATTGCGAGCTTGTGGAAAGCCTTTTTTATCTGTCGCTCTGTAGCATCTTTAGGCACTCCCAATATATCATAGTAGTCCTTCCGGGCAAGTATCAGCTCTGTTATCAAGAGGATGCACACGGCAAGCGTTACAGCAGACTGTGCAGTTGCCATGGCTTTGACGCCCCCTGCATTCAAGAGAGAAAATAAGTGTGATAAGTGTACAAGTGTGTTGAGTGCAATAAAGCAAAGGAGCGGTCATTAGTGTAAACACCTCTGGAGAAGAGGGTACCTTCATTAATAGCTATCTTATAGATACATTATTATAGAAAAGATCTTAGCTAGATGACATTTCCATATTAACTAGTGTTCAAAATCCCGATTAAAAAAAATCATAATTCGATATCGATAATTAACACAATAAATGTCAAATCATTATTTCTTTTAAGTTCAGAGGCTGAATTTTGCTCCTGAGTTAAAGTTGAAGCAAATCAGTGGATAATTGTGGTTGTAAACTATTCTTTATGGTCAGAACATCATGACAAACACTTGATGTCAAACAGACTTACCAAGTCTGAGGTAGAACATTCAAAACAATTGTGATGAAATATGTTTTCAACAAACATGCATGAGTAAAATTAAGTAAAATCTTTTTCCAATGTCTTTTCCTCAACAAAATAAATATTTCTTATTGGAAAAATGAAGTGCTAATTCATTCGTGATTCAAATGAATTAAATCAAACATTTATTGACCATGTGTTATATTGTTATTGAGGAAAATTATTATTTTATTGCCCAGCTCTATTGTTAACTGACCATTACAGTTTAGGCATTGTGGCCGACTTGTTTTCATTCGTGTTCTAACTTTAAGTTACGTTAGCTTGGACTGATAAAATACACCAATACACTAACATTTGCCTTATATTTTCAGACATTCTGCTCCCCAGAAAGTCAGATTAACGCTGGACTAGATCTCATTTAGGATGAGATGGTTTAATATTTGACCGCTATAGACGTCAACCGTCAATCCCAACGTTAGCTGACGTTAGCTAACACAAGGTAAAGCCCATGTATTCTCCTTTCTTTTAGACTCACACTTACCTTTTTCGAGGACACGAGTGCTGCTTAGATGGTGTATAGTTCTGTCTATTTACTATTTACCTACATGTCAGTGTTAAGTTATCGCTTTAGGTTGTGAGTGTTAACGGAAAAGCATTGATCAAAAGTAGCATCATTTGTTTTCTTCGGTCCTTTTACTTAATCGGGGTAACTACACAGGATAAGTTAGTGCATGCCTGCCCTCTGTCGGTCAATACGGTTAATATTCCCTCTTCAACCGACTGAGAGTGATCCTGATGTTGTTGTGTCAACAGCATTTACAACCACACAAGTTAGCTGTGTACTATTAATATTACACTACACATACCGTTATCTTACAGGGTTTCGAGGCACATTTTGGACCGTTTTTAATAATGAAGTGACCATAACATTGGGATAAAGAGTAGTCATCACGTCCCCAACTGTCTGCATAGCGGTCCATTTTGTTATGCATGTATCCCGCGTGATACGCAGAGGGTTGGAGACCCATTTTTAATATTAAGTGCTGACCATAGACTGTATATAAGAACTGAGTGCGGCAACCTAGTTAAAAGCATAAACATTGAGCTTCCGCTGCAAGAATTTCCTCAACCAATCAACAGACTCCATTTATGTGGCCACGTGATAGACAGCCAAATGCATCGCACATAGAGCATCACGTGATTAATGTTTTTCTTTTGAGTTACGTCGTCACATCATTCTGGAAATCTAGTGTCAGGTCGAATGACGTCGTGTCACTTGTTTTGACGTTAACAAAGTCTGGCGACTTAATGGGAATATTAAACGAATCCTTCGACAACATACAGAGACTGGTACGGTTTATTGTAGTTAGTTTTGTGTGGCCTTTATGTGTGGCGAGTTAGCTAACAGCCGCGGCACTCTGTGTTAGCGGATTAGCTAACTTAACAGTTAGTTGCTGATGGTGAAATATGTCATTCTTAGTAGAAGCTAGCTGTTGTGTTCATTTTCATCATTTTTTTCGTACTGTTTTCTTTCTCTCATGTATACATCAATTTTTTGTCTTTCATCACCAGGTTAATGAAAAGGGAGAGCATAGACCTGATATTGCTTTGGATGGCACAAACTCTTGTGACCTGAAATAATGAGTCATAGATGGGCTCCAAATACCTGGGTGAAACATGCTCGCAAGTCAGCAGCATCATTTCCCTTGTCTGGTAACTCTCACTGCAAGGTTCATGTCCAACAGCCTTATTGCTACAAGGTTGGCTATCTCAGCTGGAGGCACATCCACCACCTGAGGGTTATTGGGTGTAACGGATGGCTTTTTAAAGCTAGCCAGGTTAGACAAAGACTTGGACTCCACACCAGCACCTTGTATTTGAACACTTCAGCCTCAAGGTGGTCTGCTGGGCTGAGCCAACACATGTCGCGGGTGAAGAACACACTGGACACAGTTTCTAAAGCTGTGAGTGGGACACATACAGAGCTCCTCTCCAAAATCGCCAGACTCAAGCCTAGTGCTTTAAAGGCAGGGAAAAATGCTAAGGCTGGTGTTGAGTCAACACCAAAAGCTGAGGAGAGTGCTGTGACATCTACTCCTGCTACCACTAATGCTGCTCCCCTTTCTACATCTACTACACCCAAACCCATATGTAACGCATCTTCTGCAAGTCTTTCTATTCCTACTTCTGCTGCTACATTTGATGCAAGTGCCACTACCTCCACTCATCCTCACAGTTTTACCCAGGTGACTGACACTGCCACAATTCTAACTGTGCATGAACACAAGGAGAAAAGGTTGAGACGTGTTGTTCCCACTGTCAAAGACGGTGTAGCCAGGAATCAAGAGGAGCTTAAACTTTCACAGAGTGATAATGAGAGCAAGACTTCCAAACAAAGCACAGCACTTTTCCATCCCAGCACCTTCACAGTGAGCCTGGATGAGACTTACAACTACCTGGCCCATCATATTAACTCATACTTTGGCAGCAGTACGAAGACTCAGGACAAGAAAGTAGACAATGTTGACTATTCATCTACTTCCTCTCAGGGTCAACAAACTAGTGACCTCTTGCTGGTGTCTGATAAAACAGTTACTCCACCTCCCTCTAAGAAAGGTTTAGGACACTACTTGTCCTACTCAGCTCCCACTGTGCAAGCCTTTGTGGGAAGCTACATTGCTCACCTGGTCCCCAAGTTTAGGACAGCTGAGTCCAAAAGTGCTACAGTGGAGGAGAAGAAGTCTGAGGAAGCACCAGTCAAACAGGTCGAGGCTGCAATAAGTAAAGAGCAGAAGGCTGCGGAGGAGAAAGCCAAGAAACTTCTTCTTCAAAAGGAGAAGGTAGGTCTACAAAAAAGCAGTTTGTAAATTTGACCTAATGTTGGGATAATAAAATCACAAAAAGCACATATTTTTTGTCTTCTACTGTATGTATTGGCAACCTAAACCATTCTTGCTAAAGATGTTACTGCTGATCCTGACTAATTATTATTCAGTGTAGACAGCATAATTTTAGACTGCATTATGTAAACATTTTGGCATTGTAGATTCTATCTATATGGAATATGGTCTATATTTTAGCAAAACATGATTGTCTCATCAGATAGTGTCTGGTAAATTATAGCAGGGTGCCTGGCTGCTGTCCACACATTGACCAGAGTCACTCTATATGTCTAATGGTAGTGTAATGTGCTGACGTGCTGCCTGAGTTCTGGGAATCTATTTTCAAAAATAACCCTCTTGTGGAGTTAGAGGACCAAAGGAGGTGTGTACTGTATAGGACAAGTGCGGCTTTAATGTTGTGGAGATATAAACACACCTGACATATGGCAAGGCTGGATTGACTCATTTTAAACAGTAACTAATAATATATTTTGTTTGAGTTAGCAGATAGCAGAAACACTAGATGACTTATGTCCTTTTGCTGATGATATACAGTAGATAGATGTGATATAAAGGTTGGTTATGGCCCAGTTATATTCAGTCCAAGTGCCAGACAAGAAATCTGTACCATCAAGGTAACAAATCTAGTTAAAGGTACTGAAAAAAAGGTATATCAATTTTAGGACTTTTATTAATTTAGTTTACAGTTTACTTTTGGATGATTGATACATGAATGTGTTGGTTTTCTCCATGATTGCCTCGCATCCTGGTCTAGAATGTCACAAGAGAAATAAATTATACAAAAAGAATTAGAACAATAATTACAACATTCATTATCTATATCTACAGAGAGTGAGCAAGAGAGAGTTAAGCCCATACTGTTTAATAGCTGGACCTAACTGGTTTCACGTTTTTTGTAGATCATTGCTAGGGTGAGTGTGGACAATCGAACTCGGGCTCTGGTACAGGGTCTCCACAGGGCCTCAGATGTAAGAGTCTACATCAACAGGGTGGAAGACCTCAGCTACCATCTCCTGGAGTTTCCAGAGACTAGTGGTGTTGCAGTCAAGGTGAGAAATCTGAACAGGCTAACTTTTTCCTTATTTTTTCCCCAGAATGCTAGCATATTGATGCTTTGTCAGTAACATGAGGCAGCTTAGCATGTCAAAAGCATCAACTCTTAGTTTGGCACTAGCTCATGGTACAGCACTATGTTTTTATGCATACATAATCATGTTATATCTGCCAAGAACTGTTAAACATTAGCATGTAAATAATGTAGAACGAACTTCTGCTCGTGATTGGAAATTTCCCCATTCCAGGCAAAATGTCAGACTCCGGCAACTACATGCAGACTGCATACTATAGCATTTATTTATGTCTCAGGCTTCAATTCAGTTTTATTTATATAGCGCCAGTTCATAACAGAAGTTATCTCATTGCAGGTCTAGACCATAATCAGGGTGGACGTTCTGCCTTGACCAGTTGGGTCGAAAGATTGAGGGAGAGAGCATGAGGAGAGAGAACACACAGTACCACAATGCAAGTTCCACATAGAGATGTACAATAATAGTAACGGTAGTGGTGATAATAAAGAAAATAATAGCAATAATAATGATATGAATACCTGCTGAAAGCGACACAATGGAGGAGGAGAAAAGCGCTCATTGCAACATGGGAATTCCCCCGGCAGTCTAGACCTATAGCAGCCAAACTAAGGCATGGTTCAGGACTCACCTCAGCCAGCTCTAACTATAAGCTTTATTTACGAGGATAGTCTTAAGCCTACTCTTAAATGTAGATATGGTGGCATGAATCCACAGGAGAGGAGCTTGATAACTGAAGGCGCTGGCTCCCATTCTACTTTTGGAGACTCTAGGAACCACAAGTAAACATGCATTCTGGGTAATAGTGATCTAGTAGTAATAAGGTAATAAGGTACACTGCCTTTAAGATATGATGGTGCCTGACCATTAAGGGCTTAACCTGAGGAGAAGGAATTTAAATTCTTTTCTGGATTTTACAGGGAGCCAGTGCAGAGAAGCTAATAGAGGAGAAATATGATAACCTTTTTCTAGTTCTTGTCAGTACACATGCTGCTGCATTCTGGATCAACCAGAGAGTCTTAACGGACTTATTCAGGCAGCCCGATAATAAGGAATTGCAATAACCCAGAAGTGTGCAGATAGGTTTTTCTGCATTGTGAACAAAGCCAGTCCTTGAAGTTTGTTTTATGCGTGAGTTAAAGATCCTGATCAACGATAACCCAGAGATTCTTTATGGTGGTGCCCTCTAGAGTAACTTTATCTTTACATAATGTGTCTCAGACATGTTTGGGAACAAGTACGATAAGCACATTTGAAGTTTAGCTAACTGACTGGTTTAATCTGGCTTGATCGATACCATCTGTATAAAAATAAATATTTATGGAATTACTCCTAATAATATTGCCTAACACCGTGTGCAAACACCATGTGCTAACTGAATGCGACCTGAGCGAGTGTCAGGAAATCCATTGGAATGTCCTAGCGGCATGATGCTGCACGTCATTTTGACTTTCGCTCCCGTTGGAAGCGCTGCATGGAAGAAAAACGGTCTTGAAGTTGAAATGAGGAAAATGAAGAACAAGGAGTTATCTAGTGGTGGCAGCTGGCTGGAGGGAGACCGTTAGGGAGCTGGAAGTTTATGCTTTTAGGACATGGTGGAAATCATTGGTCCAAGCACAGAACCTTGCAGAACTACGTGACTAATTTTGGCATGATTTACAAAAGGACTGTGATATATAGCCTGTTAATAAAGACAGATTGATCATGTTTAGTAAAGACATGCTAATCACATGCTGTGATGGTGTCAGGATACTTATTCAGTGCTTACACATTTCAAACCAGCTCGACTTCATTTCAGTGAGGGTTTTGATGTGCATGCATTTTCCATTGCAAATCATCACAGCTATCACATGCGAGATGACAAAACTTTGATCCAGTATGAGAGAGACAGTGGGATCAACCTCTCATTCAGGAAACACTGATTATTTGTTCCCTTGTTTCAGTAACTGCATGCTGAGAGAAAACAAGCACCAGAATAGGAGCAATGCACGCATGCATGACTGGTAGTGAGAGCAAATACTGGTATAGAACATATATACAGCAGGATTTATTATTTTCACCTACTTGAATGTTGCCGCTCCAGCAGCTTGTGCCTGAGACCTTGTCCTCACAATTCTGTGCTTTATCTCCTGTTTGCCACATGATGCAAGTAAATTTGCTTGGCCAGTTGTGGCCTGATGTGTTGGACCGTGTTTTTTATTTCCATTCCTGACTCTCATAAGTATATTTGTGTTCTGTAGGAGAAGGTTATCCCTTGCCTACTGCGTCTGAAACAGGCCAATGACCCAGGCCTGAGAGCAGCAGTTAGAGAAGCCCTCGCTCTGGTGGGCTACCACGCACCTGTTAAAGGCCGGGGCATACGCATCCTGTCCATAGATGGAGGAGGATTAAGGTATGTTGAGCTCTTTTTCTTTCCTTTATTGTGTGAAATGAGTCACTGATGTTAAGTCTTTTCAAAGTGGAACGACCGGTAAATAGCATTTACTACAGCCAAGGCCATGTTTTGAGTTTCAGTCTGTCAAGTAAATGTAGTCTTGAGAAACATTCAGTTATTCTAATTGAAAACTGATCAGATGTCACACTTTGCGGGCAATTTGTGTGCTGGTTGTCATTTTATTAATTTATGGCTTTTTGCGTATGTGTATGTCTGACTTTGTACTTTCAGGGGACTTCTTGCACTTCAGACGTTACACAAACTGGAAGCCCTGACCGGCAAACCCATTTACAAACTGTTTGATTATATATGTGGTGTCAGCACAGGTGCGTTGTTCTCCTGCCCTACTTCTGCATGTTTATGTATGTCTGGATTATCATAGCGGAGTGCAACATTGCATCACATATTTGTTGTTTTCACCACCAACTAAACACTCAAATTAGGCCAGAGTAAGTCGTTTTCAAATTAAATCTTAGATAAATTATATAATGATACATCTTCATTTAGTTTCAGGAATTGTCAATAGGTGGATTTGTGCTTTTTCCCTTTATGCAAAATCACCACAAGGGGTGCTGTTGATCATCCTCAAACTGTTTTTTCCATCTGCCACTGTTGGTTTTATTTCACAGCAGATTGAAAAACTGCATTTTATATGCAGACCACATAGGCCTTTAATCACTACCAGAAGATTCTGTTTATCCACAGTTCCTATCAGTTCTCTCTCTCTTAATCTCCACCTGTTGGAGGTACTTCATTTTCACATTTAGTGAATGCTGTCAAAGCATATTGTAATGTGCTGCTAGATCTAATGATGTTCACACAAATAAAACCCATCTGGGCAACATCTGGTTAGTTTGATCACCCACGTTATTCAGGTACACCCATCTTTGCCCTCATAGCACTGTTGTGGGTTAGAAATCTGGTCTGGCGCTCTAAATCATGGAGAGAAAGTAGTTATGAAATATTTGCCTATCGTGTAACAGCCATGTTAATCCCATGTACTTCCTATGGTTCATCCTAGGGTAATGTTACTCTTAACAGATAATACTTTAGGCAGCCGGCCTCGCATCAACTCCACAGCTTTAGAGTAACAGTACAACGAGCTGTACATAACCTTTCTGCTCGTTAGTATTACCTTGTTGTATTCTAATACTTCCTATTTACAAAAATCTGCTTTTTGCATAGTTTTACCGGTACTTCCCAGTCACTTTCCTTCTTTGAATGTGTGTATGTGTGTGCTTTTTCCTCAGGTGCTATCTTAGGGTTCATGCTAGGTGTGTTCCAAATCCCACTGAATGAGTGTGATGATCTTTACCGGAAGCTGGGTTCAGATGTCTTCAAGCAGAATGTCATTGTTGGCACCGTGAAGATGGGCTGGAGCCATGCTTTCTATGACAGCGAGGCCTGGGAGAACATCCTTAGGTCAGTTCCTTTGTCAATGAAGTGGTGATTGTGCTTAGTTTATTTGCTGCCATGTTAAGATACTATATTAGTAAAACGGTTCAAAAGCCTTTGATTTTTTTTATATCCTTTTCTTTCTTTAATTCTTTATATC